ATAATTATGAAACGGTGCAAAAGCCGACACTATCTTCAAAAAATTCATTAAAGAATTGAAGTGAAGGATATTGCGACAAAAATGAACACGGAGGTACATTGTAATGAGGAATCTTCCAGTGTTTGCCAAAAATTCCATTCCGGCTGCTGTCTCCAGAGTCGCAAAATGAAGGGTGACCTTATAATTATGAAGCGCACTGTATAGCTGCTGTACTCGATGGATTTCCAACCATCATTGCATGATCTCCGAGCTCTTACCTAATGAGCGCACCATGAAGAGAAAATATAATAATTGACGACGTTTGCCACTTTTGAGGATGACTTCATAAGCCAACCCAGAGGAGAGCTTTTCGGAGCACTTTCTTTGCAAAATTTGGTCACTGGAGTATATCCTTCTTTTTGAACTGATTAGAGGCTCTAGTGTCAGGTTCAAGAACAGGTCCAACATAAGTTTCACATGCAACAATGAGAATTTGCAAACCACTAGCACGACGAGCTTTTGGATGATATTTACACTGATGAGCTGCAATATTTAAAAAAATGAAGTGATGAAAGGATAAAACGGAACAAAATAAAAAGGAAATGCAGAAAGCAATTAGGAACTCCTTGAAAAATCCTGAAAGGGTTGGCCCCTCAGTATCAGGGTTCAGAATGCGTTCGATAGTAGCGAGTCGTCAATTAGCGATAAGGGAGGTCAGCCGGACGCGGCAAGTGATAACTTTTATCTACCAATATAGCACGCAACAGCGAATATTTTAAATAGTTTATTTCACCTAGTATTCAAATTCTATCTACAACACGAGATCAACAGCGGTATGAATAGAATTAATAGTTATAACTACTAATTATCATAAAAACAGAGGAACTGAACCTTTCTGGGAGGATTTTTGAAAATATTAGTTTTAGCAGCACGCAAAAGATTAACGAAAGCTATGCTTTTTCCCCAGAATTACTCCATTTCCTCATCATTTGCTCATTAATCAAAATGTGGGCCTCTTAAATCATTCTAAACAGCATTTGTGGTGATTGAGGGGCTTGTCGCGGTGGTAGGGCGATCAGAGGTCTAACACATTTGCAGTCATGGACGAAAATGTTACCAAAATCGTGACATTGACCACACCTAAATGAGCATTTCCAGCTACTGATAGAATGAAGTAAACAAATGATCAAAACAATCACCATCCGATTCCGAACACATCCTTGCACGTGTTTGTCAGCCAGTCAAAACCGCACCCTAACTGCTCCAAAGAAGAATTAGCAGCTTGACCGTTGATAATCTGCAAGGAAATTTATTTCACTTTGAAACTACCTCTACACTACAGTAAAGAGTTGGAGTCATAGTAATGTGAAGATGTGCCACTATTTATGAAAGGAATAAGTCCTATTGGACATTAGATCTACCGGGTTCGATTTTTGGGCTACGCTATAGCTGCATCGAAAAAAATAGAGTTCTCCTGTCTATTGATAGGAACTCAGTGGATTCAAATTTTTCCGTTGCCAAATCTCGATTGAGTTCGATCTGACACTACTTAGCTACAACGTTACGACTCTTCCTTTGTCGTCATAAGAAGATGTAAATGGAACGCCAAGGAAGGACGTTACTCTCTTGTATGCGCATAATTATCCGGCTCAATCTCCTCCTCTTATTCACCAGTATAGTGACCAAAATGCCTTCTCAAATTCGACACGATCTTCATGATGAGGATCAATCTTCCCACCCTGTTGCTGAAGCCCATCGAAGCTTGAGGCAAGCAATTGACCTTGAAGTCCCATGTAATCAGTTCTAAGCATATCTCGTTCAACCGCTTCGAAACAGAAAACAAGAAGGTCGAAGATGAAAAAGAAGATGAAGATTGTTTTGATCGGTCGGCTGTGATCTGATGAAATCTCCAATAATCCGAAGAGGAGCACCAGGATTCGCAAAAGTGCAAGTTATGCCCACATACATAGGTGAGCAGAGGAGCGGAGAAAGACCAATCTTCTCGAGATCGGGCAATAGTATAAGACTGGGGAGATCATGAAAGCTTCTCAAACCTCGAGGCGAGGAGGAGGTGGTGGTGGTGGTGGTGGTGGTGGTGGNAATTTTCAAGCCATCGAAGGGAATAGTGAGGAATTGGTAAAATATTAAAATAGTATATAAACGTAAATTTAGTAAGGTAAAAACGTCTCATGGTGCTTAAGGGAGCTATTTTCTTGAATGACAATGTTCAAACTGAAATCACCTGTGCTGGTGGAATTTGCCCAGCTAGCGGAGGTTGAGCTGGCAGAACAAGAGCGGGTTGTGTCGGAGGTTGCGAAGGTCCTACGAAACGCCTGGCCGGTATCGAAGGCATTTGTCCTTGCGGGAAATGAACACCTGTTGGAAGCTGTTGCATGGGGTTTAATTGAGGAGCACCAGGATTCGCAGAATTTTGGAGAAGGGAACTGCCATGTGACGATGCAATACCTTGTGGGACCTGTGCGGCCACCTGAGGCGTGATCAGTCCAGGAAAGATGGGCTGAAAATCAGTTTTCTACCAACAATAACGTCTGAGTTACAGTATAAGCTTACCGCGGGGCTCTGTTGAGGTGGTGGCAGTGTGAAAGGCTGGATGACAGGAGCACTGGCTTGAATGGGAGCTGGCTAAATCGGCAACCTTCAAGTTGCTTTTCGAAGCATAAAGAGATTCGGCGAACAGTTCAGAAAGCATAGTAAGAGAAAGTNGCATCAACTCACAGGGTGATATACATTCTGAAGGGCATTTGCCGTGGGCATCAAACGATTGGGCGGTAGCATGGGGTCGGCCGCACTCGTCTATATACAGATGTATGTAAGTTATATGATATTCTATTGATACAGCAAGGTGTTAATCTACAGATTGGATGTTATATTCATTAAAACCTTTCAAGTTGCACAACGTTTATTCAATTGCTAGTGATGGTGATTCACTGAATTTCACCCTTCAATGACCTCCATCCTATGTGGAGAGAGGACAATGGCTGTCTACTTGACAAAAGCCCTCCAACTTTTCGTTAAGTATTTTTAGGGTCCTTTCAAACCCACGCACTATCGCACAATGAAAGCCCTATTACTGAGTTGGATAAAAAATCGAAAAGGTCGGTATCATCGAGAACCGTCCCAGTTATGACTGGGTCTTCGCCTTTTCGGCCACAGCACTCGATTCAGCCCTTCTGCTTCTGAAGACATGCTCATCTATACCCCAACAAACTCCCATGTACCCTAGGTATCTCATTACCAGATTACTAGGAGCGAAAGGTGCCAAAAATGCAGGAGGTAATAGAGGAAAATAGCATCTTTCTAGTGTTTTGACCTTGCCTTCCCTTGTGTTACACTCGCAAGAGTTTAGTCTCAGTTCTGGATGAACGTCCTTAAGTCGATTTACACGTCGCCTTCTCCACTCGATTTTCGGTCGGCCTTTGCATCATGAGATTACAGCATATGATGGATCAAGCTGTGCATCCGTCGCTAGCAAGTTTGTTGTTTGAAATTTCGAAAGAAACTGTTTTTGTGCACTTTTGCGTGTAAGACCAAAATCAATTAATCACATTGAAAATCAGTCAAAATATTATCTTCGTACTGGGCGTTCCAACGATTGTTCTCGAAACTGTAGCCAGAGGTGGAGAACGTTTCAAATATTCGGGCATAAAAGTATCCGAGCAAATCACCACTGCATACTTTTTGTATTGTTATCTTTCATGTATGAGAGTCTGACTAACGGCAGATATGTATCGGATGTTCTGGTCAGAATTAGAAGAACAGAAGAATTCAATTAAACCCCATAAGTGTCAAGGGAGTTTGAGCTTACATCAATTAATTTTTGCGTCACAAAACTTCCGCTTTTTCTGGTGACTAGTTTAATTTCAAACCCCTCCCTCTTCCCTCGCCAAACGATTTCCTTTCTGACCTATCTTTTCAACTATTGCTCTAAGACAGCAGTATTCCCTTCCAAGTCATTGGGCACGGTTCTGACTCGCCTCTATGCTCATGTGACAAATGTAATGCGGTCTCGGAGAGCTACATAGCTGTTCATGTGTCTCGGTACTGTTTCTCACGTTAGCTTACTGTTTCCGGTAGGATGCTTGACATACTTGTGTCTTGAGGATTCAGTAGTTCCCTATCCCTAGTTCCCTACCTTACATGGCGTGAGATCATGGTACTCATGTCGTAGGGGTTAGTTACTGTGCTGGACGATTTCAGCACCTTTATACCTCTGTGGCTTAGAACTATGAACTAAGCGGCTAAAAAGACTGCGCGCATTCCTCAGAACTTTCGTTCTGATTTGTTAGCAAGTCAGTTTCCCACTCTCAATCAGAATGACTTCCATTTCAGGGTTATTATGATCCCAGTGTTATCCAGTCCACAAACTCCACAGATGGAGGGAGATATTCTGGACTAGTCATTCCTTCCTCTTTTTTCTTTTCAACTTTTTTAGCTTACACTTGTTCCCTGCAAAACTTGAGCTTAATAGCATGATTTCGTGTCTACCTTACCTAGTATCTACCTTAGAGACTGTCCCATAAGAGTTTAGTGCAGACCTGCAAATCCTCTTCATTCGGAATCGTGTATTTTCAACATTGTCAGATAGGCACCTCGATTCAAAAGTGTTCTCCTATTCGACAAAATGTTTGTAGAGTTCTACATTTTGAAGGCGCAGAGTATGGTGCTTTCAGGTAGTATTTCATTGCATGGAATTGTTTCATATTAGTGTTAGAAACCAAACATCAGTGATTCTTCCCGCTTCCTCGGTCCAAAATTTCGAAAGACATCAAAATCTCTGGGAATACTCACCTGCGTGTTCACGGTGTTGGTGAAAATGTCCTGCTGAGGTCTTCCGATCGGTGGCTTCTGCAAATTGACAACCATGAAAATATGCTCACTTTAACGACGGTTGTGTTTGATTGGGACAGTTTTTTATGCTTGCGTATAGTCGTGCCAAAAAGGGGAGCTCGACCAAAGATCTTTGATCGCTCTTCGATGGGCCGCATCAAAGAATGTCCCAACAATGTTCAGATCTTTCATCCTGATATACTCAAACCTAAGCTATTGGTTTCTTCTGTGGAAATTGAACGAAAGAACGCACCTGAGGAAAAGCTGGTGGGGGTTGCTTGAACTGCTGCCTGCGTTCGTCAGCCTGGGCACGAGGCTGAAATTAACTATGAGTACGACGAAGCCATTTAGATTCATTCGACACCAGAAGTGACCCCATACTGTAATGATAGCTGGTACATTTTGGGAGTTGATTGGTGGTGGGACGGTGGTTCTCATCTCCTCATCGCCTCGTACTGCTACTGTTGTCCGCTCGAGGCCTTTGGCATACTGGAACAAACGGTAGTCAGTAGTGAGTATTGCTACGAAAAACACTGAGACTGACTTCCGCGGCTTCTTCCATTATTCTGTTATCCTCTGTCATCTTATTCATGTGGTGACTACTTTCGTCGTAGCTAAAGGCATACATTGCACTTGAATCTGAACAATCATAGAATGACTTGGCTACTGTGATCGAGTTAGCAGCAACTACCTGAAGTAGTAGTAGGAGGAGGAACGGTGGTCACATCATGATGAGGTGCTGCGGCAACCACTCTTTTCTGGAACCTCCCAGAAGCCCGAAAAAGGCGTGGCTCATCTGAATCCTTTTCTAGAGAGGTGAATTATATGGAAGCGTGGTTCTCCTCTGATCTGATACGGCAGCGTAGATTGAAAAATTGATCAGAAGAAATTGGGGAAATGACACATCTAGGCAAATTTCCCTCGCTCACCTTCTTGAGCAAGTTGCCAAAATTTCTACCATGTCAAAAAGTTTCGACCCGCAGAATTTGGACGATTTCCATGGGAATTACTGGGTTGTTTGGTATATTAAGAGTGTACTTTTTACTTTTTCAAGGAAAAAGCAAATTCTTTGCTATTCGTAATTTTTCAATCATTCTAAACATCAAGTGTCAGGTGAAGGATTTTCGACCTACTTCACTTTTTTACTTCTATCGCGGCCTTGGTGTTTTCCATGGTAGAGGTAAAATATAAGAAGAAAGCACATGTGAACTGTGGTCCACAACCGTTCGTTTCAGCAAACTATCAGCGCAAGGTGGGTTCTATGCATGGCACGATCTTTGATGGCACTGACCGGAGCGATCTTCATGTAGCTTTTGTGAGAACTTTCCGAGAAACCATGGTCCAGGTTTTTGCCAAAAAAGTAATTGAAAAAAGCGGCTGTATATCGTTGAGTAAAGGGAAAGAGGGAAAAGGATTCATTAGGAGAAAAATGTTTTTTTTTTGGGAAACTCTCTAAAATCCGAGCAATCCAAGTCTAATACAACACCCCAATCAGCTCATTTGAGTGTTTTAAAGAAGCAATTCTAATGAATGATAGGATAGGTTTTTGGAATAATAGACTTTCTTTTCATAGTATGGACCAACAAGATCCGATTGGAACCTTTCAAGCAATGTTACTAATTGCAGACGAGCGTAGCTGATTTTGGGTGATTTTATTGGTGGTTTCGACAGTTCTTGAAGCAGTCTCTGTGCTCAGCATGTATATGGCTTAAAAGTGCTACTGACCATCCACCTGCACTTGCGCATTCCTGAACACTCGTGATTTCGTCTTCAGGGAGCGGTCCATTAACGTCGGATTGCCGAAGCTTCGACGAGACGGATAAGAGGCCGCTTGGACAAGTTTCTGTTGTTCGTGCACTTCGCGATGAATCTACAACCAAACTGGTACTGGATTGATACGGAATACTTTTGAATCAAGTGATTATTCTATCCAAAAGACGAATTTCGAAGACAAACTCACTCTAGCTCCTGCTCCATGACATGTGACAATTAAAGCCAGTAGTAAAAGCGCTTTCATGAAGGGTTGTTCTCCTTCCTTTGCGTTGAATTGATGTGTTTGGAAGGAGATGGTACTGTAAACCTTCTCATTCTGATTCTTCGTTTTTCGCACAAATTTGAATGCGACGAGAGAGAAGGAAGTAGGAAATGAAGTTAATTAATGAACAGGAGATAAGACAAATGTACGGATAAAAATCAAATGTACAAAGTCTTCGCCGTCTGTCGTTCACATAACAGATGGACAAAACAAAGCGGACCTATACCTCAAAAGGAGAGATTATGATCGTTCCTGTTACCATCCTCTCGTTCCTTATAATACACACCTAATTCTTGCGCTTCACACACTCGTTACAGTGCATTCTCTTTCTTTCTCCATATCTTTTTCCTATATATTTCTGTTTTTTTCTACTTTTACATTCTCCAGAACCCATAACTTTTAATGTTTCTATTTTTCCGAATATCCGAATGACATCTACATGCGTCGTTCAAATAAAAGTTACGCGTTATCAAAAGAGTTCATAGAGAATTGTTTGTTTACATCCACGGTTTGAAGAAAGTAGCTACTCTGAACCTTGAGAGGCTTCTAGAGTTGGATTCAGTTTTTCCATCAAAAAAATCAACAGCCCACACCTTTAGATTCCATTCCTGAAAAAAGAAAACAACGCAGAACATAGCCTCTCAAGCAGCAGCTTCCTGTGACACCATAAGCAGCAGCTTCCTGGCCACTCGTTCAGTCGGCTACCTAATTAGATTTGAGGGCTCAGAGGCAGAGACAGGATATCGATTGAACCTGTCTTGGTGGTTGCCATGAACCCACCATCTTGGAATTATTTTTCTTCTAATCGAATGTGCATAGCTGCTATATGTATACGAAGCTTCCAGTGAAGCAGTCACTTTGCATGAGCTAGCTCTACGGGCGCGTCGTGCCTTGCTTTTGAATTTCAACCTGCCTAGTGATGGTAGTTGGATTTGTACGGATTCTTCTTTGTATTTCTTCATGATTTAGTGGAGGTGGTCTAGTGGCGAGTGGCGCACTATCACACACGCATGGTCACGGGTTTGAGTCCTGGACCGATATCCGCCGAAACCTACCACACCTCCGGGTTCGATTACTTGGGTCCAGACATTTGATAAGGTAAATGCACGGCGCCTACATCGGCTGGTCATCGCAATTCATTGTGTGGGCCACATACACATTTAATACGCCACCACGATTCGAATAGAAGTAGGGTGCTCTGGTGCACCTATCAGACGAAATTGATCAACGCCCAAAGATTTTGGTTTTTATTCTTCGTATACTTAGCTACCTCGACGGCCCTACCATCAGCACAGCGGTTGGCCTTGCGCGGGTCCCAACTTCTTTTCCATTGTTCCCGATCTTGAGCTCTGGTTGTCCAGTGCGTAGTCACCCTAAGGATTCCGTATCATAGACGTTGCTTCGATAAGCTAGAGAATCTGCCCATCGTAAAGGAGGACGGCCATGCGGCAGCTTCTTCTCTCGCGGGTACCATCGTATAGTGGCCGAGCTCCATCGTCCATCCCCTCTTCTCATTAGGTGTCCGGCAAATCTGTGCTTCGCTTCATCGACGTGGACTGGAACGTCTTTAACTTTTGACAGTGCTATGACGTCGAAATTATAAAGTTTGAGCTCTCGTTGCCGACTCAGCGATAGACCCAAAAGACGACGTTCAATCGAAGCCTGGGTGGACATTAAATGTCTTCCCAGTGATCTCGTCAGAGCCCAGGTTCCTCCCGCCTAGCTGAGGGCAGGCAACACCATTGAATGAAATAAGTCTGCTCGAAAGTTTGCAGTTCCTGGTGCCCTCTAGTACGCTTCTTATAGAATTAAATGCTGCCCATCCAGCCTTGCGACGTCTTGCTAACTCTCCAGTTAAGTCGTTTCTCATGTTAAGCTGGCTCCGGAGGTACACGTACTCGCCAACGTCTTTGATAGCACCTCCTTTCAGAAATACAGGGGTATCGCCGAAGAATTGGTTTCGCATTACTTTGGTCTTAGAAGTATTGATGGTGAGACCACAGTGGCTTCTTACCTCATCTAGGCGATGTAGCATCTCAAAAGCGTGTTTTGGAAGTTCGCGATTAACCGATGTCATCGGCAAATCGCAAATGGTTAAGACGCACACCATCGATGTTAACACCGAAGTTACTCCAGTTGCAGCGACGTATGACGTGCTCTAGGCAGGCGGAAAATAGATTTGGCGATGTCGGATCCCCTTGTCGTACCACTTTCTGAACTGCTACTACAACGTCGTTGTAGAAAGGATGGAATACCGTTGTACAGTCTGAGCAGCATTCTCGTAGCGCCTTCTTGTAGTCAA